GTGATAACCTGTAATACTTCCTGTGATATCCAATAATATTTTCTGTGATATCCAATAATTTTTTCTGTAATACCTAATAATATTCTTGTGTAATTGCCAGTAATATTTATATGTAATCGGCAATAGTTCTTTTTCGTAAGGGAAGGACTTAAAAAATAAAGTAAAAACGTCTCAAGTACATTTTTTAATTTTTTCTACGGCAAAACATCCTGCCATGGCCTCATTATTGCCCTGCTAATTGATTCAAAATATGTTAAAATATTTAACATATTTTCTTACTAAAATTTTCTTTAAATTCTATAATTTAACATATTGTCTTACTAAAATTTTCTCTAAATTCTATCATTTAACATATTTTCTTACTTAAATTAATCTATTTTTAATTAACAACAATTATTTATGCTTTAACCAATTATTTATGTGTAACCAACTGTTGTTGTTTCCCTTTAAAAACATAAATAAAATAATAAAAAAATTATATACAAGATAAAAGTATAAAGTAAATTAAATTATAAAAAGGTTGCAAACTGTTAGTGTTTTTTATATAAATAAAGAAAAATCATAAAAAAATAACCATTTTAGTTTTATATACATATGCTTAAAAATAATTTTATTTAACTTTAAAAAAATGTGTACTTACAAATGAAATGTTTTTTATTTATATTGAATACTTATTATTAATGAAGTAAAATTCACGAAATTCTATTATAGTCGTATTGAATGAAATATGTATTCTTTCAATAAAAAATGTACTTCCAAACAAGGTCAATAACTTTGACTAGATGTATCCAATAACTGTTTAAAATAAACATAAAGAACATAAATTATGCAGTTTATTAATTTGAATGAAACTAATCATATAAATAAACCACAAAGTTGATTAACCCTTACGAAAAAGAACTAGTGCCGATTACATATAAATAAAGTCAGTAATATAAATATTACTGACAATCACACAAGAATATTATTAGGTATTACAGGAATCACTGAGAATATTACTGGCAATTACACAGAATGCCAGTAATTCTTTTGTACCACTGCCGCAATATATTACTGCCAGTAATTCTTTTTCGTAAGGGAATATACTGCATTACATGTACTACAGCTTAACGATCAAAATAGCGCAAAGAATAAGCGAAGAAAATTAGTTGTATTATTAACTTTTCCCGAGAAAAAATGGATTAGATATTTTTTTAATTTAAATTTAACGAGATAAAAAAACGGAAAAAAAGATTTAATTAGAAAGACTTGACGCTCGTGAAATTGTTAACAGGAATCAAATAAGGCCAATACGAGCCATTCGCAGGATGTTTGTGCGGAAACTATGCGTGTACATATATATATA